AAGCAGACCGTGAGTGTTTTCGACCACAAACCCCATCCCTCCCGTTTGGCAACCATCCCTGGACCAGTGACAGGTGCATGAGCAGCCAAGTCATTGGAAATAAGCAAGAAGAACCCAGTGGAAAAAATGAAAGGGGCCACTGTTGTCTCACCTTGGGCTCAGGGGCACGCTCTGTACCCGCAAACCCTACCTCCCTTTTCACAAATTCAATGAAAGGGGCCACTCTGGTCAGGAAGCAGATCGGGATTGTTTTTGACCACATATCCCATCCCTCCTGATTCGCAACCCCATGGACAGGCGGTAGCAAGTTAACAAACTGTTTCACAAACTGCCACGTTGCATGGCAGAAACCGCACGCAGTTGCAAAACGGGAGGGTTGCATTTCGTACTGCTACACCGGTCACCCCACAGCCCCCCGCTCAGCGCCGGCAGATTTCAGCTGCCGGGGTCAAAACAGGCCGGCGCGTTTCTCTCGGCGGGGCGTCTCGGAACTCAGGGGCCCTGTGGGGCGGCGCTTCCCGCAGCCGGGCCCCGCCTCCCTCCGTGGGGAAGAGTCCCGCACGCGGCGCCCCTCACAGGCGCGCGCGCTCCCGCCGTTGGTTTGGGACTCCGAGCCCGCGAGCCTCCGGCGCTGGGCTCCAGAGAGGGGCCGGGCCGGCCCCGCCCCTACCTACCGGCTGCCCCGCCGCTCCGGGAGCCCAGCCCGCTGGGCCACGTCCGTGTCCCACACACGTGGCGGCCAATCCAGAGCCGGTCCCGCGAGTCTCGTCCCGGCAGAGGTGGGAGAGCCGAGCAGGGGCTCACGTGAGCTAACACCCGCCCGGCGCGCGCTCCCTGCCCTCCTGGGCTGGTTGCCCGGGGGGCAGGAGTCGCGCGGATGCGCTCGTTCTGCGTGCAGAGGGGAGGGGCGAGGGGGTGGCTGGTCGCGCGCCTGAGCAGTGTTCCGGCGGCAGGTGCTGGCCCCCGCCTCGCCCCCCAGCGCCAGCCGCGGGTTTGCTGCCGAGATGCGACCCTCGGTCCCCCTCTGCATCAAGGGCAGCCGCTCCTCGGAGCAGTGCGAGTAAGTGGGTGGGTCGGCCCGGCCCGTGCCTCCTGATGCGGGCTGGGTCATTGCAGTGTAGACGTTGGGATTTAGGCTGCAGCCTGCACTCTGAGCAATGAAACAACCCCAGGAGCCCGAGTCAGGTGGCACAGGGCAGCTCCGGGTGTCTCGGTGCCATGTAGACGCACCTGCTATCAGATCGTTCTACAGAACGGCAAAGTTCCTGCCTCAGGCTCTACCCTATGGACATGCATGGGCCCTCTATCACCTTCCCCCCCCCCCCCCCCGGCCCAGCAAGGCACCCACATCACCCTGGCCCCACCCTCCCTCCCTCCATCCATCTGCCCCCCCCATCACTCCAGTCATGCACCCAGCCCCCCTCCATCATACAGCAAGGCACCCCCAGCACCATACCCACTTAACCAGTTCCCCCATCACTCATGGGCAGCAAGCCGCCCTCCCCCATCACTCCCAGTCACACCCTCCATCATGCATGTGAGCAGGCCTCCCCGCCCCATGGCCCAGCAAAGAATCCGTCACGCATTAGCTGGTGGCCTGCCCAGAGCTCACTGCTGTTCTGTAGATGGTGGGGCTAGTGTTGCCACCACATTCACATTCAGACAGGGACTGATTACCTCAAACCTGTTACAAACGTCATAGTACCGTGGCTAACAGCATTCAACATCAACCTTCTCCAGATATGTGCCTGGGCCACAGTAGCCATTGAGTCACACAGAGATGATTAAGGACTGGTCTGCACACGGTTTTTCTGTTGCTATCTCCTTTTGAAACTGATGTCGTTAAAGCAGAGCAATTGCCTAGTATATACTTGTTTAAACAGTATGGGTTATCCCCACAAATTCACACTTATGGCAGTATAGTGTATTCCCACAAATTTATGCTAAAAAACTTTACCAGTAGAACAGCATCCTCATTAGCGGATGTACTGATTTAACTATACTGGTAATAAAATCAACCCTATAACCAAAATAGTTAAATTGGTTAAAAATAACTGCATAGACCCGGCCTAAAAACAAGATTACATCATTTAACAACATGCTTTGGGAAGCTGATTCATGCTGTCTCCTTTATTTGTATTTGGTTAAAAAAAAAACCCATACATTTATTAAGCTTAGAATAGAAACAAGACAGCTCCCAAAAGTGATCTTTAGAGATACCCACCTGGCAAGCCTCCCAGCTAGAGAAGCTACCATTTTAAGGACCTAAAATAGTTTTCGTTCCACATAGTTACAATTGAAAGGTGACCATTAGTACTATGTTGACAAACATACTGCTCTGGAACCTTATAACACAGATTTACAGTGCAAGTAAATTAGTCAAGCATGGCTTTTCCTTCTCAAAACTATACCTATGTTGTCATTTCATGTTACTTCTCTTCAAGGTGATCTTATATTAAATTTCCAACAATATCCCCACAACTGACATTAAATTAGCATATAGTTACCTGGTATGTTTTGTGCTACTTTTCAAATCTGGTGTTATGCTTGCTGCTTTTCAAGTATGTTGGAATTTGATCTGGAAGTAGAGAACTTTATAACATACCAGTTAATTCATAATTTGCTGAAAACAGAAGCCGTGTGGGTGTAGTGTTGTATATGGACTTGGGACTCTTTTCACTCTTTACTCAATGTGTTGGCATAAGATGAAATTCCATTGATTATATAACATATTTGAAAGCTCAGACCTTTGCACTTCTCAGTTTTCCTGCACAATAAAAATAGATGTCAGATAACTATGAATCCTACCATGTTCTAGATTTTTTTCCACAGATTCAGGGCCTAACTTTGCACATTCTCATAATTATTACTTTATATTACAGTTGGACTCAGGGCCAGACCATGCAGCACCAGGTACTCCTGGGTGAATCCTGCGCCACTGTGCATGTGCAGAATTTAAGTCCCCCACAGATTTCTTCGCCTTCCTACAGAAAAATGACTTTCTGATGGGGAAGCAAGGGGAAGCCACAAGAGCGGTCACGAGACCCACCCCAGCAGTATGTTTCAGGTTCCCAAGGCAGCCAGCAGAGAGGTAAATTACTGTGGGCCATGGGTTGGGACTGGGGAAGACCCGGCTGGTGGTTCCTACCCTGCGCTGGGCTCAGATGCTAGTCCTGGCTAGTCCTGGATGGGGAGGACAGGACTTCCTCTTTCCCTGCCCGGCATCTGGGGCCGTGTCAGACCCACCCCCAGATTTCTCCCCTGGCTGTAGGAAGCTCTACAAACTCTCCGCCCCCCTCCCCACCACTTCCTGCACCCATCGCTCCTCAGCTGCAGGGGGAAGGATCCCTGTACTAGGGAGCTGCTCCCCCATCCGCCCAGCCCCTGTGCATCCAGACTCCCTCAGACCCGGACCCTCCCACTGAGCGTCACCTCTCTGCACCCAGAACCGCCCCTGAGCCCCACTCCCGCTGCACCACCCGCACCTGGATCCACACCCTACCGAATCCCAACCAGCTGCACCTGGATCCCCACTTCACTGAGCCCAACTCCCCTCAGCATCTGGACCCCCTCCTTCTGTGCCCCAACCACCTTCACCTGGACCCCCCTGCAGAGTCCTATTACTGTTGCACCCAGGTCCCCCCACACCCAGATCCCCCACTGAGCCGCCTGCACCCAGATTGCCCCACACAACTCAACTCACACCTGGATCCCCCCACACTAAGCCGCTCCCCTCCACACTTGGAGCCTGCCTTGCTGAATCTGCCTGCTCATGCCTGGTGCACCTGACACGGAGGGGCAGGCTCTGTCCTTGTGCTGTGTCAGAGTTGGGTGCAGCCTCATCGCAGAGTCCGTGTCCTGGGGGGGAGCTGAACAGTGATATCCCACCTCTGTGCAGCCAGTGGCCTGTGCTCCCCAATGCCATGTTGGAGCCCCACATTTATTTGACAAATAAAATTTGCAGAATTTTAAAATATTGTGTGCAGAATTTTTAATTTTTTTGCGCAGAATGCCCTCAGGAGTAACTGCTGCCCTGGTTGTGCAGAGTTCATTGCCAAGGAGAGAGCCCATATAAAGGCCACAACTGAGACTGGAGCCCCTTTGTGCCAGCCACAACAAACACCGAGACAATCCCTGTCCACAGAGGTTTGCAATCTAAATCAGGGGTGGGCAAACTTTTTGGCCCAAGGGCCACACCGGGGTGCAAAACTGTATGGAGGGTCGGGTAGGGAAGGCTGTGCCTCCCCAAAGAGCCTGGCTCCCACCCCCTATCCGACCCCTCCCACTTTCCACCCCCTGACTGCCCCCCTCAGAACTCCCTGCCCCTTGTCCCGACCGCCCCTTCCCAGGCCCCCCGCCACTAACCACCCCCCGGGACCCCACCCCCTATCCAACCCCCCCTGCTTCCTGTCCCCTGACTGCCCCGACCCCTATCCACACCTCTGCCCCCTGACAGGCCCCCCGGGACCCCACCCCCTATCTAATCCCCCCTGTTCCCCATCCCCTGACCCCCCCGAACCTCTGCCCCATCCAACTGCTCCCTGTCTGCCCCCCAGGACCCACTGCCCCATATCCAACCCCCGGTTCCCTTACCATGCCACTCAGAGCAGCATGTCTGGAGCTGCGCCTCCCCGCCAGGGCCAGACACGCTGCTGCGCTGCCCTGCATGAGCACGCGGCCCCACTGCCCAGAGTGCTATCCGCACGGCGGCATAGCTGCAGGGGAGCGGGGCTAGCTGCCCGGCCAGGAGCTCAGGGGCCGGACAGGACGGTCCTGCAGGCCGGATGTGGCCTGCAGGCTGTAGTTTGCCCACCCCCCGATCTAAATAGAACAACAAAGGGTGAGAGGGGAAACTGAGGCCAAGAGCCTTGCCCAAAGTAATGCAGCAGGTCAGTGGCAAAGCCAAGAATAGAACACAGATCTCAACTTCCAGTCCAATGCCTTAGCCACGAGATCACACTGCCTTCTCTTATAAAATAATCCCAGTTTTATCCTCCCTTTGCTAATAGTTTACAAAACAATTGTTCAGATATTTTTGCAATTTGACATTTCTTTGGGGAATTTTGAGGTTCTTTTTAACTTGCTTAATTTTTATAGCTAAAATAAGTTTTAATTTTCCTCATGAAATGAAATTTTGGAAGACTCATGTTTATTCTTTATGTTAATTTTTACATACTTAACCACATTTGTTGCTATGGCCTCTTAACTCATCTGGGCTTCACTGGAATGAATTTAGAATTGTGTGGTCTGCTACACTGGGCCAAGAGCCAGGAACTCAAGAGTTCAAATCCCAATACTGACTGACTTCCACTGTGGCCTCAGACAGGTCTCTTACTCTTTGTGCTTCAGTTTCTCCATCTGTAAAATGAGGATGAAAATATCATATCCAAATTTTCTGAGTGTTCGTAAGTTTCAGTATCAGCACTGGTACATCACAGTCTGTACCTAATAATAGGAGAGGGTTATTTTTATTAATAAAACTATTTTCATGAGGAGTAATTTTTATAGGTCAGAAGCCTGTTATACCTTCCTATACTATAAATATTTACACTGGGATGTATCCAGATGATATAGCCTGAAACTCTAAGACACATTTTAGCTTCTAACTCTATGATACAGTGTCCCTGATTTTTCAATGGTTTCCTTCTTTGAGGTCTGTGGTTCATACACACACTTACCTGCTTAGCTAATGTAGTCCGAAGATCTATTTCCACAACAGAATGGATATTGTGCTTCCAAGAAAGGCTCTGAAAGGATAAAACCTTAAGCATACTGCTGTCAAAAAAACCCTGTAATTACAGTATTTATTAAGAGCATTCACAAGGCAAACATAATACAGCACAGAAAACATTAAACAAAATTATTATAAGAAATTTCTGTAATAGATATAATACAACATTGTCCATGCTATTGGAAATCTTTGTTAGAAAGAAAGTGAAAGATATGTTTATTAGTTTTATTAAGTTACATGTTTAGTAATAAGGACTTGATTTCTTTTACAGGAGCTGGCAGACCTGCTTGCTCAATGTAGAAGGCCAAAAAGAATTTCAGAACTTTCTTTATTCTGAGAGACAAAGATTGGCTGAACCCCTTATCTGGCCATTTGGCTGACTATGATATATCTCTATTGAATCTTTTTGGCATATACAACTTTATAGAACCATCTGTTACTGATTTCATTGTGTGCTTGGGTTATCAGGTCACTGGAAAACCTCCTGCTTTATAGCCAGGGAATGTAAAAATCAAAGCACTTGTGAGGGGCCCTTTGCTGAGAAAGTTTTTTTTATCCAGTTTTCATATTCTGAGGTTTTCAATTAATTCAGCCTTGCATACTTCAAAACTTCTTGACTTCACTTAAAGCCGATGGCCCAAGCAGAAATTTTTGACCAATCACACAGTTAATAAAAAGTTCACTTCTTGACTCTAGTTTAAAATTAATTTTGTTCTCATAGCATAGAAATGAGGGATGAGGGGACATGCAGGAGGGGGGAGTGCAGGGAAAAGCCATACTTACACCTCCCAAGCATCAGTCATTAAGAGTGTAGATTCAGACACAGCAGGGAACAGAAAAACGGCAAACCCTAAACATCAGATGTTGGCAGAAATATTATGATTCTGGAATTAGTATTCATTAAATTACAAATAGAGACAGGATTTCTGTCCCTTTAAGTAATCCCTGCTGGATTAAAATCCTTCATTCTCTGAGAGGTTTCCAACATTCAGATGTTGAAGTAATTGTTTCTAGAGAGAATACATCATGAATGATTTACAGGGTCATTTATGTCCATACTAAATGCGGGATTTGATTATTACAATAGTTAGGTTTGTGATGACTGGGAGAACCACATAGTGAGTTACCTGGCGGGTGCAAAGTTGTGGAGACATCTAGATAGATTTATGTGCAATGCTGGGGAGGAGCCAGTAATCGTGGTACACTGAGGTACCAATGATATAAGGAAAGGTAGAAGAGGGCTCCTGAAGGCCAAATTTAGGCTGCTAGTTAAGAGATTAAAGTCCAGGACCTCCATGGTTGCATTCTCTGAAATGCTTCCAGTTCCAGGCACAGGGTCATCTCAAAAGGTGTAACTGCAGGGTCTCAATGTGTGGAGGAGACAAAGGTGTTGGATGGGAGGGATTTAGTTTTATTAGGAAACCGGGGAACCTTTAGGGAAAGGAGGAGCCTTTAGATGGGCTCCATCTAAACCAAAACAGAACCAGATTGCTGGCATGTAAAATTAAAAAGGTTATAGAGGCGTTTTTAATCTAAGGGCTAGGGGAAAGCTGACAGTGCAGCAAAGCACACAGTTCAGCCAGAGACAACCTTCCAGGGAGACTTTATTGAAGTGACTACTCTATATCCCAGTAAAGAGGAGAGGATAGAAGTAAAGTATAGGTTAAGAACTGAAGTGAAATAGTCAATCACATCACATGAAGGCAGACAACTAAATGCTGACAAATTTGATAAGTGCTTGTTTACAAATGCTAGAAGTCTAAACTTGAGTGCCTGGTATTAAATGAAGATATGGATATAATAAGCATCACAGAAACTTGGTGGAACAATGATGATCAACGGGACACGGTAATAATAGGGTACAAAATATATAGGAATAACAGAGTAGGTTGCGCTGGTGCGGGAGTGGCACCATATGTGAAAGAAAGCATAGACTCAAATATAGTAAAAATTTTAAATGACTCAAACTGTACCATAGAATCTCTATGGATAGAATTCCATGCTTGCATAATAAGAGTACAGCAGTAGGAATTACTACCGACCACCTGACCAGGATGGTGATAGTGACTGTGAAATGCTAAGGGAGATTAGAGAGGCTACAAAAACAGAAAACCCAATAATAATTGGGGATTTCAATTATCTGCATATTGTCTGGGTAAATGTCACCTCAGGACAGGATGCAGAAATAAAATTTCTAGACACCATTAATGACTGCTTCTTGGA